CGCACTGCCAAGTACTTGGTAAAATGCACGATTGCAGATTGTGGCGTGAAGATAGACCTGCCACTATCCTTTCAAACTTCAATAGAGGTGATGGCTGTTTGCGCAGGAAAGAAGGTGAGCCTTTTTGAGATCAAGTTGGTTCAAATGGGGTGTCCGAGGACAGGAGATTTGTTGGTCGGACAACTGGGAGAAAAACGCAAAGTCATGGATCTGCAAAGACCTTCCAAGAAGATGCAAACTCAACTCAGCTCCTCCTCAAACTCTTCCGAGAACTCTGACATTTCTCTGCCTCCTGCCACTGTCACTGCCACGTGCTCTGTGGCGGCTGAGAAGGTTGATACTCCTACACCGTCCACTTCCACTACTACGGAGACTGACACTGATGAAACTGATGATGTTGCGGACGCACACCTCATAGAAGGTGTCAGCTGCTTGTTGGAGGAAGCGGAGGAATCTGGGTGCAATCTGGATGATGTCATAGAGGAATCTGCTGCGCGACAAACAGGCATGACTGCGGATGAAATGAATGTAGCAGCCATGTTTCAAGCTGCTGGAAGGTTTGTCAGCTTTGATGAACAATTCCAAGAAGAGAATGAAGGACAGGTTGAGTCAACAAGTGCAGACGTTAAACCGATTGAGGAAGCTGTTTCTCAGGTTGAACATCTAAAGTTGAAAGCTGCTGTGGAAGCCAACAAAAGCCTGGCATCTACACAAACTACAGAGGAGATTGAAAAAGCCGCTTCGGGTATTCAACAGGAGCAGAACATCATTCCTGAAGATGCTCTTCTTGAAGCCACTCTGAATGATTCACGCATCGCTGGGAACACCGTCTATGAGTCAGCTGATGAATCCAGTGACAGTTCCTGGTCAAACATCAAACTTTTGTTTGTAGTTTTGAGTCGTTTGGAATGTCACGAGGCTAAAGCTAGGATAAACTGGTCTTGTTTTATGTCTAGCCTTGGTAACTTCTAAAAGGGTGTGTTCATTACCAATGATGCTTTCATCGAGCCATCATCGTCGTAATTATCCTGGGCCTGATCCTTTTATGTCGCCACTAAATATTAGGATGATTTCTATGTATTTGTATATATTATATATATGTAACTGGTTCAGTGGTGCTTCTAGCTTGACGCCGCCTCATCCTGCGCTTACTGCGCAGCTCATCTTAGGTCGCCTGGATGATGTATACCAAACGTGGCTGGCCAATCTTAATCAGAGCTTTGCTGCACTCAAAGCCCAAGTGGAAAACCAGTCCCTTCCACTGGCTACCAGAGATCGTGGTGGCACTTCAGTGGTAGTTTTGCCTGGTGCTGAACTCGTGTCTCCCAAGGTTGTTTTGGTCCAATGGCGAGATTGTGAAGCAATGACTGGGCACATTGTCGATGTTGATGCAAAGGGTCTCCTCATTGCTGTCGTTCACGTTGGAGAGAAACGCTATCCACGGGACTACTCCAGGTGTCGGGTCCTAGTGAAACAGACTGGCGTGACCTATACCAGAGCTAGAAGAGTGGGCTTTCTGGCAGAAAAGAATGAACTTCCGTCCCACTGGAGGTGGTTGATGCGCATGTGGACAACCGCTTTCAAGAGGGAGGTTGAGCTTCAATTGAATGAAGTTGACAGAAACCAAGAAGAGGGTGGTTCCAGTTCCAATTCTTCATCGATAGAATGCGCCTGCTGCAGCAGCAGCACTCACACCACCACCAATCCTCCACCTGAGCGTGAGCTCAACGAAGGCAATGGTGGCGGCGGCCGTGGTGGTGGTGACAACAACGCTGCGAGGGTGAGGAATTACTGCCTCACGTGTCCACTATGTTTGCTGGCTACACATGGTCAGTGTGCAAGTGAGCTTGCTCAAAAGCTCAAGGCTGCACATCAACATCACGCCACAGGAAAGATTTCTGTCTCTCTGCCTGATACATATGATGGAGTCCTTCCGAAGGAGATTGGGGAGACTCTTGGCTGGTTCGCATTATTGGTTTGCTAATACTAATGCAAGGTTCTGAGGTTGTGAGGTTCTGATTGCTGGTCTCTGATCAGCTTTGGTCCCGAATCAAAAAGAGGGTTGACCAGTTCACGCAGGACTAACTAGTCTAAGGCTATGCTATGACTTGTACAAATGTGGATGCATTGCTGGCGTTGTGACATCTCATTTTTGTTGGGGTTGAGGCTGCGTATGGGGACCAAGCATAGCTTAGCCGCCTAGCCCATCCAGGATTGCGTGCCAACTGTGCACTACTTGGCTGCAGCTAACTTCCTCTACCATTGCCAGGCGATCTGCCTGCTGTGTGTCGTGTGTTGTCTAGGAATCCAACTTGTTCAACCTCAAGAAGTAGTCTGACGGACGTTCAGATGTTCAATGTTCCATTCCATTCCGGGCTCATGGACAAGTGACAAAATCATGAGATCATGAGACCATGCGTGCGCCGACTTGCAAGGGCACTTTGGGACGCGCGGTCAGTCCAATCACCTTTTGTTTTTCGCCCATGGTCCATGGTTCAAGCCAGGAGCCAGGAGTTGAGAGTGCCACCCGAGCAACAACATTAAAGCATCAACTTTTATTGTACAGTTCTTTTTGCCGCCAGTATGGCGCAGAACGATGAAAATCATGAAATCTCGAATGGATGCAAGGCTGGCAGTGGTGGAACCTTTGGGAACAGTGGGAACCCACACCCAAACAATTTCGACTGGACCCATCAAGTCTCTGCCAAGAAAAGGACGGCGCATCAAGCAGGCCTTGAGTCAAAAGATCAGTTGGCCCACTCTGCTCCGCTGATTGCTGGGCCATCTCATTGTGACACTTGGCAGAAGAATAGGGACACGCTTGATGTGTCTCCAAACACTTGCCATTCTCGTGCTCTTTCTTGCCCAGCTACAGCCGCAGCTGATGGGCCCATGTTGGAGGACGACCAGGAACACGGGGTGGGTTGCGTCGGCAGGGAAGGTGTAGGCTTGGCCCCAGTGAAGTTCCTGCTCAAGCTGAAGTCGCTCCAACCATGGATGTTCACAGGTTTGGGATCGGACGAGGAGGAATTTCGAGGGGGAGAGGGCGAGGGAGATTGCGATGATGCAGAAACCCTGATGCTCGGACACAGCCCAAGACACTCAGATTCACTATCTTGCCACCATACAGGCCCGCATCCGAAAAGCAGCTGTGGGTGGTGGATGGCGCAGAAAGCAAAGGAGACTCTGGGTCATCATGACAGTCAGGCTGCTTACCCTGACCAAACTGACCGCATCTCCAATTCAGAATCTGCCTCCTCTGAGGGTGAGGAATCAACCAGCAATCCAAACCCAGATGATGCTTCCACAGAAAGTTGGGACTATTTTGCGCCTGACGGAGACTGGGCTGCAGGCCCGCCACCTAGCCCACCGAGTGCAAGTCCTTCTCCTTCTCAGGAGCACGCAGGAAGCGATGAAGGCGGTGGAGGTGATCCAGATGCTCCTCATCCTCCCGTAGGAACTGGATACTTCCTTGCTCCAGCAGGAACGATGTCTGGTTCAGATGATGTGCTCTACGCCTTGGTTTCATTTCCGATGCACACGCGGGGCTTTTCAAATTCAAGACGAACTGACCTGACAGACTGATGGCCAGTACAAGGTTAAGGCTTTTTCCGCATAGCCTTCACCCATTCAATACCGATACCAGTACATGGTGGCCCCCTTGGTTGTTCGCCTTCTAATTGCAAATGTGCAATTTCTAGATGTTCTAGTGTTTAAGTGACTAGTAGTAGTAGTTCTAGTCTAGGCGCTTGTGATACTTTTCTGTAGCTGACAAAGACATCGACACACAAACAGACATATAGGCATATAGGGAGGCGCTTGGAATGCTTGAATTGTGGACACCGGGGACACCCTGTCTGGACCGAGCATCGATGGAACCAATGGACAACTGGCTAACATCTCACTGTAATTAGTGCTTGCGCCAAGTGTAGTTTTGTGGTTAGGGCATCTTGGTTCAATGCTTGGCCCTTGGCCGCTGGGCAAACATGCATAGTTACATACCAGGCGCATATGGGATGAAATTGTTCACAATAATGGATGAATGTTTTGATTGTGTTGTCGAGCTTGTTAATGCGTTGACCGACTGTCGGATTGCCAATTCATCAATTGATCTTGTTTGAACTGCGCGCCCAATCTTTAGCCGGCCATCACGGGCCATCACGTCACAGTTTGCGAGTCACAAGTGTTTGAGGGAATTGTCGACCCAAGTTTTGGTTTTGAGACCAGTTTGCGTGATCTGGCTCTTGGGCCAGTGGCCAGTGGTATTGTGGCTGTTGGGCATTTGGTGGTGTGTAAACCCCATGTTAGGCAAATGGCAAACGGACAAACGGCTACACTAACCTTTACACCCCCAGTGTCCATTGGGAAACTTTGGAAACTGCTTGTGACTTCCAAGCTTTTAGATCAAGGTGAGTCCTGGCGGCAGTGATGGCACCAAGACCGATGGACAGCATGAGGCCAATGTTGACGGGCAGCCTCAATCTGCCAGTTTGGCTACAGGTGCTGCCGGTGATGGGACAAAAGGGTCATTGAAGAAGCTTGCGTTCAAGGGCTACGATGAACGGGAGAAGGCGCAATACAACACGACCGTGCTTTCTTTGCTGGGTGATGAAGGAAGACCCCTCACAGCTTTGGATGAGGTCTTGAAAGCCCTTATCTTCATGTGCGACATGATTGAGAAAGACAGCAAAACAAACACAGGCGCTGGGGAGCTGGGGAATCGTGTTTGAAATGGCGTGTGGTTGTGGTTTTTTGAAAATTGAACATAGGGTTAACGGTATGTTTCTTAGTCGTCGTGGCCTCAGGAAAAATAAGCAGTTTTTAGCTATGTGCTGTGCACATTGTCAAGTGACAGTGTCAAGCAGTTCAACCAGACTCAATACAGTTGGACATTTTCCCATGCACTGTTGCTGTAATGATGTTTGATGTTCAGTGCTTCACATTGACTCAACAATTCAGCAAACAATTGACAAACAAACAAACCCATGGTAGGCAAGGACATGCCCGTGTCCGATGAAGATGAAGAAGCACGTTTGGAGCAGCTGGTGCAGAAGTACAAGGGCCCACTGTCTTTCTGCTTGTCAGTGTGGACGGTGTTTGTGTGGACGGGTCAAACTGTTGTCAGCTGCAAAATCTTCAGATCCTATTCGCTTCTACGTTCTGAGCTTCAGAATGTCCTCTTGAGAGCTTTCCAGAAATTAAAGGTGGACCCTTCCTTGGGCGCAGCAGCTTCCACAACCGCATCTTCATCTACGACTTCGGCGTCCGGCAAGACCAAGGGGAAGAAAGGTAAAGAGGATGGTGGAGTGGCTGCTATGCCTGCTTTGGAATTGGCTCAGAGGCTTTGCGCAAGCTTCTCAGGCGAAGCGACCTCAGTGGCCGTTGACGAGACTGGCGACGATGATGAAGATGCAGCACTGAACCGCATCATGACCATTATGAAGCAGAAGAAGGACTCCATTGCACAACCTCTCCAGAAGTTTGTGAAAGAGTCGCTACACCTGCCCATGACTCTTCACAGGGCAGTGTTGAACACAATTCAAGAAGTGGCAATGTTGGGGGCTGAATCCGCCGCCGAGTCCAGCCAGCGACAATCTTCTTCCGCTTCTACACCTTCTCTCTCCAAGAAAATGCAGCAGCGGGACATCATGGATTTGCTTAGCCTGATCAAGAAGAACATGGAAAGCCATACTCCTTGCACATGGTTCTTGTTCGCTATGGATGTGACTGAGCTCTATGGTGCCCGAGGCTTCTTCCCACACGGAACGCAGGAGGCTGGCCAATTCCGAAATTCAACTCCGAATTTATATGTTATGTCACTGTTTGTGTCCTGGTTACTGGTTACCTTCTTCTGTTTATGTTTTAGATGTTGAGGCAAACAGCAACTAGTAGGTTATTACTTAATTACTTATATAATTGTGCAACGCTGCAACACCGCAACACCGACACAGCGCAGGTTTTCTTGTCGCCAAATCAATTGGAAGAGCTTCTGTGCTTGAGATGTCGCTACGTCATCTTCATTGCTGCAGAGGTCAAGAATTCTTTCAGTCACATCATCAATTTGCCAGAGAACGTGAAGTCCTTGATCGAAGGCTTGGCCTCGCTCTTGAAGATCTTTGCAACAGGCAGCGGTGCCAGGAAACAGGCAAGTATTGCTGACTCGGCTGAAGAGGATTTGAATTACTACGCTGTGGCAAGCCAATTGAACCAGTTTGACAACTTGCAGCCGCCTTCATCCTGGGTGTCATCGTGGGCAACTTTGTTTGCTTCAGCGTCCAACTTGAAAGATTTGCAGCTCTGGCTCCAGGACCAGATTGGATCTTCTGGAGAGCCAAGCCTGAATCCTTTCTACAACGTCAACGTGGGTCGGATGGACCAAGTGTCATTGCAAAAGCAACCCGATGACCAGAATGGGGCAGACTCAGCCGAGGTTGAGGTGGCCAAGGGTGGAAAGGCAAAGACTTTGGACGAAACAGACCAAGAGAAGGGCAAGACAGGAGAAGCTGGGGCTCAGCAGGTTTCTGAGGAGAAAGCGGAGAAAGCCGGAGAACTTTCTATTACCAAGCTTACCAACATGGTCTGCGTTGAGACTGTGAATGCATTCCACGATATCACAAACAACAACAAAGACTCCTCTACTCTTTTGCACCTCTCCCAGGAAGCACAAGCTCTCGGCATTGATTTCCGAGAAGCTTTCACGGCCGATGGAATGAAGGTGTTGGAAAACAAAATGGCCACGGTCATGTGGAAGTCTTTTCGGAAGTACTCGACCCAGAACTCGGCTGTTTTCGTGAATATGCAGGCTGAGGATTCGAAAGGCCGAGTGCTAGTGAAAAGGCCTGTTCCTGACACCCTCCAACTCCCATTTGCTGGGCCGATTTCTCAAAGCCAGCAAGTGACCAAAGATGGAAAAGGGTTCTTTCTTTGCCGGATATTTGGCATTCCATTTTACGCGCCCCACCAACCTTCGGATGTGATGCTGCATGATGTGATGGTTCCAGCTTGGGCAGTGAGAAACGCGTCCAAGGCAGACCAAGCCTTCTTTGTTCAGGCCAGCGTGATGGCATACATACCTGAGTGCATCTCCTCACCAACCCTTTTGGATGTCGAGCTCATGTTTGTGGGCTGTGACATGGACAAGGATGCAGTGGCCAATCCTTACTCAAGAGTATGCTCCTTGTCTTTGACAATGTAGCTATTGTAGCTTCTATTTGCTGATGGTGTTGAAGTTGGGGGTGTTCATGTGTGTTGATGTTTCGTTTGGGTTACGGATTACGGGTTTCCTTTCCTGTGCTTGCATCTTCCTTTTCTACCTTCCGTGGCCCAAGGCTTTGTGGATTTCGACGTGAACTACCTGATGCCTTCAACCCTCATTGAAGAGAGTTTGGCAGCGCAGCACGAGCGCAACAAGGAAAAGGCAGACAAGTTGGCAAAGTCAATGATCAAAACCACCCTCAAGCAGCAGAGCAAGGCTCAGAAGCAAAACTCCAGCAAGAAGGGCGCAGGACGAGGAGGTGGCCGCAAGCGCAAATCGGCTGAGATGAGCGACAGTGATCAAGAAACAAATACTGTCAACGTTGAGGCCCAGGCTGCTAAGGATGCTGCATCCATTTTGGAGAAAGCTGAACAGCAGCAGGGGAAACTTGACAGCCTCTTGGCAGACCATTTGAATCAAATCAAGATTCCGGATTACATCCCCATCACCCGTCTTGCCACGGTCGAGGAGAAACAAGCAAGGTCAGCAAGGGGCTTGGTTATCCAAGCTGCACTGGCGCAAGCAGAAGCAGTGAAGGCAGAAGCACAGCAACTTGCCAAAAGCCAGAAACCCAAGAAGGATGAATCGCAAGATGCTGTTGCTCCGCAGCTTGGCATTCGCGCTTATGCTGAATCCTTTGCAAAAAAGACGACTCCTGATTCGGGCAAGGGCAACCAGAAGGGTTCGAAAGGAAAAGGTCGTGCCTCCGGGAACAACAACAATGCCGAGGACAAGGACGCCGCCGCGCTTGAGGTAATGAAGCTTGGTCGGCGTCTACTGAAGTGAGTGCCTGGCGGCTAGGAAGCGGATGCATGAATGGCCACGCCAAAGGGGGGCAGTGGCGCTTAGACAGACCCTGTTCAAGTTCTTCTAGTTTCCTTACCTTCCATCTTTCGATGGATCTTCATGAATAGATAGAGTGTCTTAGACAAAGATAGTTTTGCCCTTGCCTTAGTCCAGTACAGTTCGCCTTTGAAATCAGAGGCATGGAGGGTGTTTGGCCCGATTTCTCTCTGGCGGCACAGAGACCTGTTCGCTAAGGCAGTTGCGCAAGAAAGAGTGAAAACACTGTGATTTTTTGCAGTGTTTCTGTGAATGTCTGTCTGTGCTTGTTCACCCTATGCTTGATCATTTTGAGACGATGATGTCCAATCTTTCATACAACATGTACGCCTGGACGCTAAAATTAAAGAATGTTTTTCTAAGGGCAACAATCGTGAATAAACGCAACGGCTGCTTTTGGCATCCTTCGTATTTTTGAGCAACACGGTGATAAAAAAAAGAACACACGTGACCTGGAGCCTCTGCTGAAATTTTTGGGGTCTCCTATTGGAGGCCCAGCCTAGAAAACCATCCGCGCCCCAAATATTTATGGTTTCAACATACAGCTGAAACCGCACGTCACGAGACCAAGACCTTGCACAGTACACAGTCCGTACACAGTCGGTACAGAGTACTCTTCCAAGGTGCTGGGTCTTGCAGGCAAACCTTGGCGTTTGCGTCACCTCATCGCCAGCTTCATCAGCCCAACCAGGTTCCTTGGATACCTCAGTTTGAAACAGAAAGGGGTGTCGCCTCAGGGGAGTGGCTTGCTATGTTGGTAGTTCAAGCTGTATGTAAATTTCAATCATTTGCTCGTAGATTCTGGTGGTTACTGTTCGTCAGTTTGTTTGGCCTTGTACCAGTTACTGTAGTTTGGCTTATCATGCTTGTGATATGTGGCCAGCTAGGATGCAGCGCATGGACTTCGAGGACAACATAATGCAAGGGCTTTTCTTGGAAGGCTTTTTTGCTGTGAACGTGCTGGCAGTGTTGAGCACCTCGGTCCATATTTAATCAGGGTTTGCGGACTTTGTGGTGTCCGGAGTCCCATCAACACCTTGTTTGCTATTAGGTGCTGGTGGATGGCTACTTGAGGAGCTCTTTCTATTTTGCCGGAAGTTAAATCATGGTGCAGAGTTTGCCAAGCTTGATCCACATTTGGTGGTTCCGTCCAGCTTAGACATCATGCTGGAAGGTATGCTAGATGCAATTTGTTTCGTGGTTGGATGTATGCTGCTATTGCTTGCTGCATCGACATTCTTGCACAAATTTGGCACTGCAAACAATCCTGCAGATTCACTACTTTTGTGCTATCCTTTGCTTTTTGGCCCTGCTGCCTTGATTCGGATCTTCCTTTGCAACAGCCGACGTTTGCTTTATCACAGCTTGTTTGAGCAGGGAGTGATCTTAGATTTCAACAATACAAAGACAAGCCGAGATTTGCTGTTGGTCTACACGTACATGGGCTTTGCAGTTGCAGTTGGGGTGCTATTGTTCGACTCTGCGCAAAGTGCACAAGAGGGAAGCATGAGTTGGAAAGCAATGGCCATTAATACTGTGATCTTTACATCCCCGTTGTATTACATGGTTTCATCGCTGCTGAATTCTCTCAGATTGGAGCTGGAGGCGATCAATTGCATGTGCTTGCAGAGACTGGATACATCAGAGTTGGATCACTCAGCCCACGATCGTGTCGACAGACTGCCGCCTTCGCCGCAGCTTACGCAGCTGACTCAGCTGACTCCGATCGCTGAGGGCCACTTTTGCCGAACTGCAAGGAAAGAAAGTCGCTCGAGAGAAATAAAAGATGTCATCCGCATCAGCATTGACATCGCCAAGAAAACAAGGTCCTCACACCACTCAGTATCACAGCCGGATGCTGATATGGACTACTTTCGTCTTACCGACATGTTCTGGGTACCTCGTTTGGTTTCTGGCAAGTCAAAATCCGCGATTCTCCTTGTGACTTCAATGCCAATTCTGGCACTCCTGGCCATGCTGTTGGGTTTGGTTAGTTTGGCTTGGCTCATCAAGCATCGAACAGATGCGCCAGAGATTGAAGTCTTGCGGGCAGATGTGCCCGGATTGACCCCAAACTTTGACTATGAGATCACAGACTACACACTTGCGTACCCAAGGACTCAGTCAGGAGTAACCTTCAGTGTGTATGCGGGCACTGACCGCACCGGCTTTATTAACGCGTCCGTCATGGATGGTAGTACTCCTGTGGGTGACCCACAAGTATCAACCTCGGGATCGAGCCTAGTTGGCAAACAGTGCTGCTGCTATTGTCCTGTTAAGTGCACAAGGACTTTGTTCAGCCTTCATGTCACGCTCAGCTTGTTTCTTTGAAAGGGATCTGAGGCTCACTTACCATGTACAACTTACGGGACAGAAATTCTACCCCACGGTCGTTGAATTCAAGGCTGGTACTCACAGCCAGGCAGCTTGAAAGCACGCATGCTTTGGTGCAGTTGGTATTGCTTGTCAACTTTTGTTTGACGAGAAGGATTCAATCACTTGATTTGTGTGAGTTGTTAAAGCGTTGAATTCGGCCAAGATGAAGGTCAGGAATTATCGCATCACCGCCATACAGTCTGAAGTCATCATTAGCAGAGCCCTGAGAGATCTGCAAGTCGGAGCAAGTCATAATCGTTGGCAGTTCAGTTTGCCTAAAAATCTAGAAACCAAATCGAAATCATCAGTACGAAGCGTGAGCTATCCTGCTTAGTTCTTAGTTAAGTAGGCGCCTACTTAACTAAGTAGGCAGCGGGGTGAGTGGGCTTAAACAAAAGAAGCAAGGAAAACGTATTTGAAGCTCCATCGAGCTCCAAATTTCTTTTCTCGTTCACTTGGTTCACTCAGGAAGTGTGTTCTTGCATGGCATTACAACCAGCGGCAGCAAGTACAGGCGGTGTATTCGATGGAAAGAGATCGTGCATGGTGCGATTTCTATTCCTGAAACTTTGACCGATATGTTCCGAGCTAAGACATTTGAGAGTGTATCATGGAGATTTCTGGTTTGTCTTGAATTGTGATAAGGCAAATGGATTTTGCCTTGCAAGAGTTTCATTGGGGCCTTCCCTTCAATGAATCTTTGGACGGCCATTTCGTCCCAGTCTTCAAGAGACCTGAAGATGTACTCAATGCTTCAAGACAGCATTTATATACATCCTCTGTAACTTTTCACCTTTGCATTTATATATTGCATTTCATATTATATAATGGTGACCCAAAGGTGCTAAGAAAGGGGTGAGGGCCATTTTTGCACTTTGTGGGCGAGGAAAGTGTTCAGATTCTCCAACGAAGCTCCCCTTCCCTCACCCCATTCAGCAACAAGCTTGAAGAATGCAGCTAGCTGTAAAAAGCTGCAAGAAAGTAAAACATGATTCGTAGGTTTGGGGTGTACTGAGGTCAGACAGCAAGCTGTTGGCTGTGGCACATGGTGCCGACTGCACCCTGAATGCTGGGGCTTGAAGGAGGCAGACAACGGTTGCTCAGCGAGACTTGAGCACCCACTGTTTTCGGTGTTTTCGTTCCAGTTCCAGACCTTCTCCACTTTGTTCCATATCTGAAGACTTACTGTATGTCACTGTTCTTTTGCATGGTGCATGTTGCCGCTCTGAAAGGGGAGCACTACAGGACAGGCGGCCTGTAAGGATGAAACTATACATTCAAAGAGCGCACACCTCAACACGTAATGAGACCGTAGCATCGCGCCAGAACCTGCCACTCCACCGGTGACAACATGTGGGTCACTTCCCAAGGACAACGCCTGCATTCTCTTTAGGCCAATGAAAGGTAACAATATTCATTTATGGGCATATTGTGAAAACGGTTTCACAAAGGTAGCCGCAAAACTGTCAACTATATAAGTAAAAGACGCTCAAGCCAGGGGGTCTTTTCAGCCTAGCTTTCGCCGCCTTTCGCGGCTCTTCAGGGCTAAATGCTGCACGGATGGCGAAAAACAATGATGCCATGTGTGCAGCTCACGACAGATGGCAAAAAAAATGTGTCCCACCTCAGCCTATCCCACGAAATTCCAAACTTCAGCATATCTACGTCTGAAAAGGCTACAGCCGATGCTCCAGCAGGTGCCTACTTGAATCGACGGCACACTCTGCTTCAGCAAAGGCATGAACTTCTGAATTTTGTCTGACAGCCATCTGGAAGAGACATCTTTATTGAACCGCACTTTCAAGAAAGCCTTTCGCACTGACTCACGTTGTCTCGTTCCATGGGCCCGTTTGGCTTGGAAACGTGCCACAAGCCTGTCAAAGCATTTCATATCAAAACCACGGTCTTTCAGGCGCTTCTTGAAGAAGGAAATGCTTGCAGCCACATCTTGCTTTAACCTGTTCCTTCTTTGGCATCTAATAACACCACCCAGCTGAAGGCTTTTGAAGGCTGCTGCAGGATGGCAACAGATACAAGTACAGATTCTTCGGCTTGTGGTATATACTCCAGTGTACTTTCCGCGGAGGCGAAATGCCCAGAGTAACATCCAAGAAAGGAACCGTACATTGCCCAGAAATCTCGAACTGAATTGACTTGTGCCAGCTATTGACAGCAGTGAGCAGCGCATCAGTATCAACACTGCAAAGCGCCAACAGGTCGTCAATGTAACGCCTGCAGAACTGCAAATGAGAACCTAAGCGTTGCTCCAAGAACTTGTCAAAATGCCAAAGATAAATGTTTGCCAGGATACTTGCCACCTGCAGACCTGTAGGGATGCCATCCTCTGACTGGAAAAAAACGGCCCTCAAATGAAACAACACCAGCTTCCAGCACTAGTGCAAGAACTCGAACCAGGAAATCTGCCAGACCTGCTTTCACGTGTCTTCTCACGAAGGGGCCCACCAAAGACAGAAGATGAATCCGATCCGGTATAAGTTTACAATGTCCAGCGTGACAACCCTCATTCCAGGCTTACAAAGACATGGCTGTAGAAAATACAGCAGCTGGTCTGTAGAGACAATCACTGTCTCTAAACGCCCTACCAAAGGTCCTAGGTGCTCCACCAAGAAAACCGTGAAGGGTAAGAACCAACATGCACGCAAATTGCAAATGGGCCTTGACGCCGTCGGCTGTTTGTGAACTTTTGCCAGGACTCGAAAAACACCAGCGGAACTCTGAGCAAACCTGCTAAGCAAAAACTTCTGCTCAGCAAATGTAAGGACTCCTGACGCAACAAAAAACTGCACCAGGGCATCGGCATTGTACTTCAGCTCAACTAGCTTCGCGTCCCGCTGTTCTTGAGTAATTTGCACATAACCCTGGCGAAGCTGAAGCTCAACTTGTGCAAGCAACCAACTCCTCAAAACGATGGCATCACCAAGGCCTTTGTCGCAATCTATCACCAAAACTGAAGAAGCATGCTGCTTCAACCAACTCCGGGCTTTCCGGTCAAGGAATGACTGGTTTGCTCTGAAAGGCTTGGGCTCAAAAGATGCAAGCTCACGAGACAGAACGCGAACATAAGACTCAACCCCAACATCTCCAGGCGGCATCCAGGCGCTCTTCAAACGACACTTCGAGACAGCTCCCCGAGGCTCTGCAAAAAACTGGCAAAGAAGGAGTTGCCGTTTGAGGTCAGCAAGCCCAGTCATAACTTGCTTTGCCGAAGTCGGCTTGTGAGTGGGCACAAACTTGCCACCCTTTGCAACATGCAAAAGGACAAACTTGGGAATAGCTAGGAAATCCTCAGGGACCAAATTGTGTACTCCTTTAAAAGCTTGCCTGTGCAACAAAGAACTGAATCAATCACAGTCCGGTCTGCATCAAACCAAAAGGAGCGGCCCCTGCGCCGATGCGCTATTTTCGCTTCGACTTGCTCTTGCCTTTTCCCTTTGACTTGCCTTTCTCCTCACCCTTCCCTGCAAACCTCACGGCCTTCTGAGATGCATCTCGCTGTCAGCTGGGAGATCTCGAAGGCGAACGCGACGAGTTCAGAATTGAACGAGGTGTGGCTGACTTGCTGGCACTGTCATCACGACCAGCTCCTTTCCCGCACGGCGACTTCTTCCTGGGAACTCTCTTCGGCGTTAGCTCCCTCTCAGGCCGGGAGGCGGAAGCTGGAACCATCTTCAAATTGTGCTTTTGGCAGAGCTCAGCGTTGTCTTTGACCAGAAAGGCTAAGGCACTGTCATCTCTAATCTTGGTTGACCCCTTTTGCTTTGCCCCAAGATGCTTAAGTTCAAACAGAGCTGGGGACAAAACATCCTTCACATCCATCTCTTCCCACCGACTTCTAGCTTCAAGCAAAGCCTGCTGACGCTTCTCTTGAACCTCTTTCTCCTTGGACATCCGGCTTCGGATTTTAGGCCTCTCAGTCCGAATGAGGGACTCCACAAACTGCTGAGCGCGCTGCTTCAGAGCTTGCTTCATGGCAACATCGTCATACTCATGTTCAGCAAGCCAAGCATCCAAACGGTCCAACAACTTCTGCTGCAAGGACTGCATGGAAATTTCGTTCTCATAAAACTTCACACATTGCTGCTGGTGCTCGCAGACAAAGCTGAAGCATTCCCGTGCATGTTTCAGCCGGAGAGCTGACCAAGCCTCTGCGATGTCGTATGAACCGTCCTGCATGTCCCTTCCGTCAGGCATCAGTGGCTGCGCATGCGCAGCGAACAGCTTTGTCCATTGCCATTTGTGGTCAGCCTCAGCTTGCAGGTGAGGGTGAAGCTTGCCTTCCTCTGAGAGCTTTGCATACTTCGCTTGCACCTTCTTCTGCGTTTCCCATGCCTCGAAGAGATGCAAGGCTTCTTTCCGAAAAGCAGTAAAAACTTGTTGCAGGGCCGGGTCGACCCCTACAAGCGCTTTCTGCGGACCTTGGAAAAGCTTGGACTCCAAGTTGCCTTTGCTAGTCAAAGCCTCAAAGTGAGCCTGTGAATTCTGAACTTGAAGCTGCATCGCCTGCAACTGCTCCATGAGAAGGCGGTTCTGTTGCACTAACAGGAGCTCAACTCCAGTCCGCTCACCTTCAACGCTTTGGCCCCTAGGCCCTAGGTCGACCTGCTGCTGTGAAGCCCGAAGTAGGCGCAGGGGATCTCGTTGACTCCCTACCTCTCATAGATGAAGTGAAGGCTGGTAGACTAGCACCACCCATAAGCACAGGACTTGCGCCTGCCAGCTGAATGGTGATTTGCCATGGCGAAGGCCTAAAGTTTGCACAGCACAACTAAGTAAAAGACGCTCAAGCCAGGGGGTCTTTTCAGCCTAGCTTTCGCTGCCTTTCGCGGCTCTTCAGGGCTAAATGCTGCACGGATGGCGAAAAACAATGATGCCATGTGTGCAGCTCACGACAGATGGCAATTTTTTCTGGCAAAAAATGTTTTTGCCGCTCTGAA